AAATATTTTGTAATATTTTATACAGTTTTATAAATAGGACTTATAAATCTTTTTAGATTATATTACAATCTTGTAATTTTGTTTAAAAGAATTTTGTTTATTAACAAAATATTTAGTTTTAGAATCTTCAAGAAGTATATTTTGAATTTAAAAATAACACTTATAAAATTTTGTTATTTTATAAAATTAAAATTTTTTATAATTGAATGTTAATATTTTTATTATTTAAATATCAAAAAATTAGTCTTTTCACTAAATTATTTTCTTTATTTACTAGTTTATTAATGTCATAATAAATACTAAACTTTAACATTTTTAATCACTTTTCTTTGACCTAGTTAATTTTTTTATTAAATCATTAATGTTTTATAAAATTAATATCAAATTTACTTTGTTTTATAAAATTTTCTTTCAAAATAAACTATTAATTATTAAATTTAACTTTTTTAATTATCTTGACTTGAAATTTTTAGTATTATAAATATAACTGTTTTAAAAACTATTATAATAAATATAAGTTGTTTAACTATTTTTTACATAATATAGAATAAATAAATTTAATTTATAAAAATCTTATTATAAATTTTAATAATTTGAACCCTTAAAATTTATGAAATTAATTTTACTGAAATATTTTTATTGAAAATTCATAAATAATACTTCATAAATAAACTCTTCTCTTTAATATTTCCTTAATTCCTTTATAGCATCATTCTATTTCAATTCATCTTTTGTTATTTAAACTATTAGGTGAGATTTGAAAACGTATTTATTTTCAAATATTTATCCCTCCAAAACACAGAAGATTTTTATGATAAAAAAAGACATTTATAAAATAGTTGCCATAGAGAATGGATTACAACTAGATATGTCTGTTTTGGAGTATCTTGCAATTAAGTTTACAGATGAAGATTCAGTTAAGTCATTTATTGAGCGATTTAAAATTAAATTTTCTAATCATAAATTAGAAAAATCACAGATTGATAACATTTTATCAGAACATGAGACAACTAGACCATTTTTTGAAATAAAAGAATTTAAAATGAAAAAAGTAGATTTAATAAATAAATATGAATGGTATAAAAGAGTAAGTGATTATAACAAATCAGACACTAGTAGGTTTTATGGAATGTTTTATGTTGATAAACTTAATAGACGTATTTTGGAGAATGAAGATGGTGTATTTATATTGGATTTTGGATTATATGATGAGGATATGTTTTTATATGAGAATATGATTATAACTGTAAAGGGTGAGTTAAATGAGGATATTATTACTGTAGAAAGTATAATTTTACCAGAAATACAAATTTTTAATAAAGTAAATAACTTTCTTATTAAAACACCAATAAGAATATGTGTATTTGGTAATTATATAAATGAGGACAAGTTTGTTCAAAATGTTATTAGTGAATACTATCCTAATCTTCTATTAATGTCAGTCAATAATAAAAGAGCAATCCAAACATGGAACACTGATACCATTTACATTCGTTCTAAAAACAATCTAATTGAAACATATGGAGGAACACTATCAAAAAAGGAAAAAAGTCAATATTCGATAAAAATTAATAACAATCCTATTTATATTGATTTTTATGATAAAAGAATTGCATTCATTGATCATAACATATTTCAGTATAAAGAAAAAGGATTGTTTTTTAATTCAAATCCATTTGAATCGTTTTATAATTCGTTTATTTCACAAGGATCAACTAATCCTTTTAATATAAATTCT